AAGGAGAAGTCAGTGGGATTTTACTATGATTTATTTAATGGTCCCTTTCCCCCTGCATTGTTCTTAAATAGTACAAATTCTAACTGCTAAACACAAAGAATTCTGCCAAGCTGTGAGGGTTGAACCTCAGTTAATTCTAGTTTACATTGCTGGGTAGTGGCAGCTTCACTCCACAAGCTGCTTTTCCAGCTCAAACCCAAGTTTATTCCAAAGCCACCCCAAAGAAGCAGGTCCCTGCCCCTGGACTGCAACAACTGCACACATTTCAATATTAAATTAATTAGGCTGGAAGGATGGTAAAGAAATAAGATGTAAATGTGTATCCACACACACACACTGGGGAAAAAACCCCTGTACACTGATCAAACAGCTCCTTCAGCGACACTCCAAAGGCAGCAGGGCTACAGGCACGTTATTTTACACTTAAAATTTCCTCTCCTTCACCATCTATAGATGTACTTGGGGAGTTTGGGTCAGTTTTTGAGCTGAACTGCATTAAAGGTATTACAAAGCAGCAGTCTGGTGTTTAACATAAAGTAAAAAGCCAAAAGCACTTGGCAGACAATAAAGCAAACTTGCATATTTAAAGGCAATTATAGTGGGATACTCTGTAATCACAGGATTGTAGGAAATCAAGGAATACAGGGTAACATTTGGGGGTTAATTCTATTTAAAGCTCGGTGAATTAGAAGATTTGTGCCATGAGCTCTGATGCAGAGTATTTTCTATATGATTACATATATATATATGATTAACTTGCAAGAACAATCACAGTGAAAACTCCAAAAATATTAACCCGGCTCCATCCACCCGGGAATTACACGAGGGCTGAGCTTCCCCATCCCAGAGAAGCACAATATTCTAATAAGAACTCTCCTAATCTTCAGCCAGCAATAATTTCCAGCTGATATTATTATTCTCATTTCCTTGAATAATATCCATACTCCAGGGCCATTTTCCTCCTCATATTCAATATCGTGCGTGCTCGGATGGAGATTCCTGTCCTCATATCCTGTCACAGTATCAATCACTGCCTCCTGTCCACTCAATCCCCGTTTGATTTATCAGCCACCAGCTCTCTGGACTCCATAACTCGACCCAAACCATTTTAGCAAGACAGTGACAAATCACACCCGGGATCACATCAACCTGTTCCACTTAGGAAAGTCGGGAAGGGGAGCTGTGACATCCCTGCACCGGCACCCCCCGCTCCCCCCCTCCCCAGCCTGATGTATATTAATGAGGAGCTGCTATTCGCAATGCTCCTTCCACATCAGCATCTAATATGATCAAATTAGGAAATGGGATGATTTATTAAATTCCTGCGGAGCTCAAATATTCCTTCCCCTCGCCGGGTGGATGCAGAGAGGGAGCTGTTGCTTCCAATTTCCCCGCCCGGGCTGTGCCGGCGCTTCCACGGGCGAATTATTGGCTTTAAAAAAAAAAAAAAAAAAAGACTGCGAGGAGGCGAAATGTTATTAAGCAAATGCTCGGTAAAACAAACTAAATCGGTTTTAAAAATTCCTAATTTAATGTAAAATCTCGCTTGTTTCGCCCAAATTCAGTTTGTGATCTTATTAAGTCGTATTTGCATCGCGCTGCCTCGCTGCAGGACAGCTCGGAATTTATGGCATTACCAGGAAGCCCCACTTTTTTCCATTCAAAAAAAAAAAAAAAAACCCTGCTTCTAAAACAAAATACTTACAAATGCACAGGTTTCCTTCTCAAACAAAGCACGAACGTTACCAAGAAGCCCCATTTTCAGGACTATAAAAACTGCATCCCAAATAACAGAGCTACAAACGCAGAAGTTTTCTCCTCCTCTCGAATCAAGTGCAAACACTACCAGGAAGCCCCACTGTTTCTGACTATAAAAACGGCTTCTAAAACAAAATACTTATAAACACACAAGTTTTCTTCTCAAATATGGCACAAACATTACCAGGAAGACCCATTTTTTTTTTGACTCAAAAAAACACATGTCAAATAAAATAGTTATAAATGCACAAGTTCCCTTATCTTCTCAAATGCAGCACAAGCATCACCAGGAAGCCCCACTTTTTTGACCCTATAAACTGCTTCTAAAATAAAACAGTTATAAATGCACAGGTTTTCTTCTCAAATAAAGTACAAAAATATGGGTTTAGGTTACAAATAAAACCTACTTAAAATCTTTTTGAATGTGTCATTATAAAAATCCAACTGTCCCAATTAAAATTGGATATATTTCAGTGGTTTACACTGTTGGAGATCTGTAGATCATTCACTCAAATAAAACACCTATTAAAGCTAAAAATCACTTTAATAATAAAGTTATTTAAAAAAAAAAATGCATTGCAGCCACATAGACTTTTAACAACACCTTCATTACCTTGAAAAACCAACTTAAATCTTAATTTGACAGGGGACTGTGGAGGGAAAAGACATTACAGGATACAGAATTTGTGCCACCTGCATGATTGACACCAAAAACAATTCCAGAGATTTAAAGACACCACGTGATGGATCTTAACTCCCAATAAGAAGCTTGTTTTCTAAGGTCAGACCCATAATTAATAAAATTAAATTTAAAATGACCTAAAGGTGATAATACTGGGAAGGTACAAGGGGAATGTTACAAATCCAGGGGGCACAGAGGTGATCTTCCCTTTCCTGCTGCATCCCAAACTGCTGCTCTCCTGTGGGGCAGGAGCTTTCCCTCCCTCCCCTGGCAATGCACAAGTTGGGGATCCACAGGAATATTCCAGTGGGTGCCACTGCTCACTGCAGGAACTCCAGGTGCTGCCCGAGTTACTTTTATCAGTTATTTACAGGTGTTTCCTTCAGTATCTACCTGTAAAAGTCACATGAAAAGAAGTTGTCCCACCCCAGGCAAAGAAAATGAGGAATTCCAGCTGGAATTCATGAAAATTCCATTTCAGCAGTACAAATTTCTACATTTCCACAGACAAACTGTCTCTGCATCTCTACATTTGAGTGGATTTTTCTTGTATGATTTCTTTTTTAGTTCCACTTGTGGTATCCACAGCCTCCACAGCTTAATTCCTTTATCCCTAAGATCCATCTCCTTTTATTTCCCAGGACCTGCCTGACTTCCCTCCCTCCACACCTGCCCCAGGTCAGACATGGGAGGAGGTGGGAAACCCTCAATCCTTCATCATCTTTTCCCACCATTTTTAGTCTTATCTTGATTTTTTATACCCCTCCATCACATTCCCTCTTTCCCCCATGACCCCTTTTCCAGCCTGAAGAATCCTGAAGTCCTGAGTCCTCTGTGGAAAGCTGGTCAGCCCTTGGACTGAGTGATTTTGAGGCAAAAAAGGAGATTATTTGGCATCACTGCAACTACCTCAACACCACGAGCAGGGCAAACACAGGCCTGGAGTAGCAGCAAGGATTTAACTCTGCTCCAAAAATCAGATTAATCCACGGCTTCTCAGGGTAACATTGCAGCAGACTCAGGGAAAAAAATGACAATAAAGGGCTTTATGTGTCCTGTTGGGTTTAGTTTTAAGCTTTTAGACTCTTCTGGTATCATTTAGGATGTTATTTATAAATATTTTCCCTGAAGAATCACGTCTGTGCACAGGAAATGCATTTAAAGCAACATGCAGCTCTACCCTCTATAGGACTGCAAAGCTGGAATATTTTACACATAAAATATTTTATACCCGATATTTGTCATGTTTTTAGGTGCCTCATTTCCATATATTGCAATGATGATTAAAATCATCAAACCCCTTGGAAAAGAGACCATCAGACTATTGCTAATGAAAGCTGCAATTTTGTATTATTACAATAAAAACCCTTTTTAAATCAGTTTATCACATTTCCTAACGCTGAGTACGTGACAGGCTGAAAAGCCTTCATTTTCACCTCATCCTTTGCACTTTGCAGTGGCTTATAACTGATTTTCTTGACAGAAAAGGTGGATATTCCCAGGAATATTTCCACAGGCAGCCCAGCAGCTTATCTGGGGTGTCCAGCTCCGATGCTGAGGATTCTCAGAGACACATCAGGCAGTTTAAATAACCAAATTTCTACTACAAAGGCACTGCAGCAATAAGTGTTCAGGCAACTATTGTAATGAACAGCTGGGAAAAACTCAGGGCAGAATACAAATAAGAGGAAGTGGAATATTCTCATCTTTCAACAACAATTTATCAACATTTAGAGGCAACAATTCTACTGTTTGGTATATAAATATAGACAAATATATATAAATAACAGGTTTAATAAATTCTTAGTGCAGAGACACAAAATTACTTGGCTGAAGATTTGTAAATACACACCAAAACAGCTCTGATCTGCCTGATACACTCAATTAATTTAAAACCAATCGAAAATGCTAACAGTAATTCTGGTTCAACTTGAGTTACCAAACTTCTTAATTGGAAAGTATACACAAATTGAGCTGCTTCTAATTAAAAAAGTAAAGCAAATTTCATAGCACAATTTGTAACTTCTGAGCCAGATTTAAATATTGGAATTGTGGTTATTATTGAAAACATTCATTTGTCACAAAGCAATTTAAGACAAAATTCAGCACTGTAGATATCTTAAATATTAATAAAAAACTGCATAACTAAATACTCATCTTTTTCCAAGGGGAAATACAGATGAGAAAATAAGTTTATTCTGATCTTCAGGGAGCCAATGTTGGGAATTGTGGAAACCAGTAACCAAAAAAAAACCTACAAGGAATTTTAAGATGATTCTGTGAAAACAAGTGACTTTATTCATGCTTTTTGCACTTGGTCAGATGCAAAATAAATAACTTCTCTCCAAATTGTTTCACCAGTGTAACTGAAAGATTTATTGGATGAAAAGCACTCCAGAGGGGTTTCAAATCAGGAGGAGTTCCAAGGGGAATGGAGTTTGCAGGAACACCCATATCCATTATTTCTGGTGTTGTCCAAGCTCACTAATCAGGAGATTTTAAATTCATGTTGTTAAAGTGAACATGCTATTTTTTTTTTTTCCCTAGGGAAGAGTCTTACCTTCTGGTTCTACTTTTTGACCTGGACCTTTGGGACCTGTAGGATTTGCCTCTGCCCCTGGATCGGCTCCGGCTGCGCTTCCTCCTGGAGCCGTAGGAAGAGCTGCTGCTGGATCTGTGCCTGCGCCTGCAACACAACCAGGCTGTGGGTGGGTGACTGCCCCTCAAAACCCAAAGGAACGGGCACAAAACCCCTGAAAACAACTTCAAAACGAGGTACCAACCTGTGGGGTTTGGACTGTGCCCCAGAAGCCTCAAATCCCACTATTCCTCTGGAACAAGGGACTCCCGTTCACATGGGCAGTGCTGCCTCAAAGAGCTCATACTGCCAAACACACAGCCCAGGCCACGAGAGCTTGGGCTGCTCTCCTCAAAGTGCTCTTAATAATCAACTAATCAGTGTTAATTTATTCCATCTGAGCTGGGGAGTTTCCTCCCGAGTTCAATCAGGAGTCACAGGGGTGTCCTCCTTTGCCCCTCCCACCCAGTTTCCTTTATTCGAAGAATAAATTCTTATACACAAAGGAGAAAACTAAAAGAATAGATACCAAACTACACCAACTAACCCCAAAACTGGGAATGGGGATATCTTTCAAGTCTTACTTTTAAGATTTCCTCTCCATCTCCCTAATAGTTAACTAAGCAACAATTAAAATACTAATGAGAACCTCCATATTTTTGATTGTTTGATTAATATCAAAATATAACACCACAGAAACCCTCCTGTAATTCAGGGTGTGCTCAGTGTGATATGTGATTATCCAGCACAAGGGAAAGGGGCTGCAGGAGCTGGAAAACTGGAAGAGACATACAGGTTAACTGCTAAAGAACAGGTATTCATCTGGCAAAGGAATGTAGCATTCCTGCTGGATGAGGAACAGGAATCTTAGAAACTGCTGCTTTTCATTTATCCCTCAGGGTCAGGGATAAATCCAGTAGGACCCAGCGTGTAAAACTGCCAGGAGCAAATGTCCCAAAATGTCCCTTGGCACAGCCAAGGCTCCAGCCAGACCCTAAAAACAGACCCTTTGGTCTTTTCTGGACCCAATTTCAGTCACTGGTCCCCATCCAGCCCCTAATCCCCCTCGGAGCCCTGGTGTGTGTGGGAGATGGCCATGCCTGCCCTGGACTAACGGGATCAGAGCTCGTGGCAGCAGCACAGGGCTGGGATGGCAGCCCAGGGATGGCAGCCCTTGGCATCCCACCGTGTGCCCTCAGGGCATGGAGAGGCTGGGAAGGAGCACAGGGAAGGGGGTGGAGATGAACAACTGAGACACTCCTCCCAAGCAGTCACCTCTTCCCTCTTCTGCCAGCTCCAGGAAGGGCTGTCAGGAGCAGTTCCCAATATATTCACAGGGCAGCCAGACACAAGGAGGGTTTTCCAGCTCCACTTACTAATACACTGACCACAAGTCAGGCTGAGACAACCAGGATGGGACCATGGAAATGCTCCAAGGGCTGGAGCCCCTCTGGAACCAGGCTGGGAGAGCTGGGGATGTTCACCTGGAGAAGAGAAGGCTCCAGGGAGACCTGAGAGCCCCTTGCAGGGCCTAAAGGGGCTCCAGGAGAGCTGGAGAGGGACTGGGGACAAGGCATGGAGGGACAGGACACAGGGAATGGCTTCCCACTGCCAGAGGGCAGGGCTAGATGGGATATTGGGAAGGAATTCCTGGCTGTGAGGGTGGTGAGGCCCTGGCACAGGTTGCCCAGAGAAACTGTGGCTGCCCCATCCCTGGGAGTGTCCAAGGCCAGGTTGGACAGGGCTTGGAGCAACCTGGGACAGTGGAAGGTGTCCCTGCTGGACAAAAAAAGAAAGTTATTTTACTTGGCTGGGTTTTACCTGTTTTAATGAGGAAGTTCCCTTTGGATCTCCAAATTCCCTGCTTTAGTACTCCTGCAGGGCGAAGGTGGTTTGGGTTTTTCTGGTCAGGGGGCTGGGTTTGCTTTCTAAGCTTGCTCAAAATGAAAACATTTCACCAAGAAATCAGAGAAAACTCGATTCAAACACTTCCAGCTCCTGCCACGACACGGAAGAGCTCTCAGATTGTAAAAATCAGCAACGACGAATTCCTACAAACGCACCTTTTCTCGTAGTGGGACCAGGACTGGAGATCCCGGGAGCGCGACCTGGACCTGGATTTCCTTCCCGATTTCTTCCGGCTGTAGGTCCTGCTGTCCGAGGAGCTGCTGGAGGAGGAACGTCTGCGGTGCTTCTTCTTCCTCCTGCTCCTGCTCTCCTCCTCCGTGTCCGAGGAGCGGCGGCCCATCTTCAACTGCGGGAAACAAACGGCACAACTGGCAGAACGTCTCCTGTCTGCAGTACTTTGGTTCTCAGATACATATATATGTATATACACACATACACAGCTCAGCCCCCCCAGCTCCCTCAGCCCCTCCTGGTGCTCCAGACCCTTCCCCAGCTCCGTTCCCTTCCCTCATCCTCCAATTTCCAGCACGGACAGGCCAAACTGGTTCATTTTCTCCACCCAAACTTTCCCTTTTCTCGCACTTTTTTTGCCCCCGATGCAGCAGCTCCTGATCCACAGGGAGAGGCTGGGAACAGCACAAGGGAGGAATTCACCACCAAGGAGGACTGAAACTCCTCCTAAGGATTATCAGAGCCCTGGAGCCAGGGTGAGGAAGCTGCAGCAAGAATGAGTCAGGAGGCAAAGGAACATCCTACTGGAAAAACACCAAATTCTGGACTTGGCATCGACCTCAAGAATTCCCATATTTTCCCCAACAGCTCAATGCAAAACACAAGACAATCCCTTAAGCACCTGGATTTGTTTTGATGCTCATGAGAGTTCACCCACTGCCACAATAAACAGCAGCTCCATAAACTCAATCCGATGGAGCCAAATCCCTGTGGATCCCAGACGGTTCCTTGGCACACGACTCCAAGCTATCAGCCTACAAATCAGCCATTCCCAAGCTTTGCTGCTGCAAATCCCTCTATTTATTTACTTTGCTTCTCAACAGATTCTGTTTCCAGCACTTCAGAACTTGGTCCTTTTTAAAGGTTTTTACATACTCAGATTAAACCAGCAAATCTCCATCCACCTAAACCAGCAAAATTTTAGGAATCCTCCTAAACTGCTGTGCAAGAGAAGTGCTTTCTTAAATTAAGTTATTTTACCATCTTACTGAAGTTATTCCACACAGATTTTGGCAAAGAGAGGCAGGACTTTAGAGACTAGTTTATCTCATTTAAGGAACTGCAACTTTAATTGACAATCTCACAAAGGAATGTCAATTCATATCAACACACCATCTTGTGCAGTCAATTTTTTCCCCTTGTAGTAAAAGATTTCCAGAGCTCCAAGGCACTAACAGTTATTGAACAGTAAAATAAAGCTCTTCAAGGATACACTGATAGAACAACCTGCAAATGAACGTGAACCTGAAACTCAAAATGAGTAGAACTGCCTGGAAAATGAAACTACAACCCAGAGATTCTGAGTTAAAGGTTCACAGATCACAGGGAGAATAATAAAAGAGACCCAAGAAACAAAGAGTATAAAAGACATTTCTGATGTGGATCATTATGAGCCACAACATCCCATTTCAACTTCTATATTGTCCGTTTTTTTAACGCCTTTTATTTTGCCATCAGCTTTCCTCCCCCTTGGGACACACAACTGGATTAAGCAGCACATGAAACTTGGGAAATATATGATGTAAATGTCAGTTTTGTGTCTCCAGGAGCAAAGAACCACGTGCCATGGCCATTCCCTAGGACAGGACAAGACCTGTGGCATCCAGGCACATCCTAGAGGAGCTCCAGGAGCGCTGGATCCACCCCGGGTGAGCTGCAGGCACAGGGACAAGTGAGACCCTGCACATCCTGGAGCTCCCACGGGAAAAGAGGTGCCAGAAGTGGATCCTGGGACAATTTGTGCAGCTGAGCCCTGTGGCTGTGTCCTACAGGGGTATCCTGGAATTCCACAGGTGACACAGCTTGGACAGGGACAACCTTTCACCGGGGGCTTTGGACCTTCCCTCCAGTACAGGACACACTTTTCCCTGCACGGACACTTCCATAAACTATCCCAGGTTGCTCCAAGCCCTGTCCAACACTTGGACAATTCCAGGGATGGGGCAGCCACAGCTTCTCCAGGAAATCCATTCCAGCCTCTCACTACCCTCACAGGGAGGAATTCCTTCCCAATATCCCACCTAAAGAAAGCATAAATGACATAGGAAACAGACTTCCCCCAAAAAACCCTATTTAAAGAGAGTAGTAAGAAGTTTACACTCATGAATTCATTCATCTGGCCCTGTTCAATCTTGTTTCAGAGATGTCAGGACTATTTCAAGTGCAACACATCTTTACAAACAAGAGTTTCAAATTATTCCTGTATTCTCATCATAGATCAGCTATAACCCAAATACTGCCCACCCACACTGGTTATGTGGCACCTCTACAAACAGGACCCTTTAAGAAATTATAATTGATTAGAAGGGTATTGATGGAAAATTGATGGAAAATACACTGCAATATTCCAGGATCCCCTTCTTTCCTGCTGAGTTCCTGCAAGTCCAGGGGCAGAAGCAACAAGTTGGAATGAGATGCTGCTGGAGCTCCAGCCAGGAAACAAAGGACACTGAAGTCAAATTTATTGTATTTACTTCTCCTTAACCAGGGCTGCCTTTTTCCCTTTTCCAAGTTAAAGTTCACTGAAAGAGGAACACTTGAATCCCACCCCCCAAGAGAGGCACCACAACCAGTTACCTTTGAAATCTAAAGATCAAGGAACCACAGGAATTTTGCTACTTTCTTACAATCTCTCCCATAGGAACAAGACCCCAAACACCCAGAACATTTGTGTGGTTACAGAAAACATGTTTTCTTTGACAATTTTATCAACAGCGTTTTTCCAAACCCATCAGTTTTGGACTCGAGGAAAGTGTAGCCTCAATCCAAAGTCATGAAAGAAGAATTCATTTATTTAAACAACACTCCTTAGCGTTCCTTAACATTCCAGCCCCAAATCTTTAGCTGTATTTCAGTGCTGGTTTTGGCAGTGCTGGGTCATGGTTGGACTCGACGCTCTCGGAGCTCTTTTCCCACCTAAACGGCTCCAGAGCGTGGGAAAAAGCCCCAAGTCAAGGGGACACCACAGGTCAACCAGAAAACAGCAGAGAACTGCACTAAGACCTCAAACCAAGCCGTGGACATGGCAACTACCTCCAGAATTCCCAGATTTCCCCCATATTTTCCATGTAAAACACGCGCCAGTCCCTTAACACCGGGATGTGAGTTCACCGCGGAGCTCCCGTGGGGCCAAACCCCCGCGGATCGCGTCTCCCGGATCTCCCTGCGGATCCCGGGACAGACCCGTGGATCCCGGGATACCCCTGTGGATGGATCCCGGGATACCCCTGTGGATGGATCCCGGGATACCCCTGTGGATGGATCCCGGGATACCCCTGTGGATGGATCCCGGGACAGCGCCGTGAGCGGGCCCACGTGCGGCACCGGGGTTATCGGCGTTACCCCGCACCGGAGGCCGCGCGGCGCCGGGAGCGGCCGCAGGGCACCCCTAGCCCCTGCAGCAGGGTCCTTTGCCCCCCATGCCGAGCCGTGCCCCCCCGTTATCCCCGATTTACCCCCTTTTCCCCGTTATCCCGGTATCCCGGTACCTCCGCGGAGCCGCCGCGGCCCCGGTTCGAGCCCAGCGCCTTCCGGGCCGCCGGGCAGGCAGCGCCAATCCACCGCCGAGCGCGCCCAGCCCGCCGCAGCGAGCGCCGAGACATCGATGCGCTGCCCTGTTGACGCCCACGCGGGTCGGGCGGGGGATAGGGGGGGACACGGAGGGTCCCGCTGCCCACGGGGGGTGCAGAGCACACCCAGAGCTGTCTGCACCGGGCACAGCGCGGTGACTACTGTGGCACACTGCCTGGCACGCCGCGGGTGACGGGCAGGAGGGCAGCGTCGGTGATCCCGGGTGGGGGTCCTGATCCCGGGGGAGGAGGTCTCGGGGCCCACGGGGGGGTGCAGAGCCCACGGAGCGCTGTCTGTAGCGGGCACAGCGCGATGATAACGGCGACAACCCACGGGCATAGTGCGAGGCACGGCGCGGGGGACGGGCCGGAGGGGAGCCTGGGTGGTCCCGGGTGGGGGTCCTGCTGCCCACGGGGGCATGCAGAGCCCTCGGAACGCTCTCTGTAGCGTACCCAACACGGTGACCCGACACGGCGGCCACCGCAACGACCCACGGGCACAGTGCGGGTGAGGAGCAGGAGGGGAGCGTGGGTGGTCCCGAGTGGGGGTCCTGCTGCCCACGGGGGGATTCAGAGCCCGCCGGGCGCTGTCTGCATCGGGCACAGCGCGGTGACAACCGCGACGACCCACGGGCGCGCTGGTGTCACACCGTGGGAGCCGTGCGGGGAGAGCGGCCCGGGGGACGCGGGGGGTTCCACCTCGCAGAAATTAAGGAGGGTCGGTGTTTAAAGCCCGGACAGGGTCAGTGTTTTACAGCCCTGTGGGCGAGGGGCAGCGCTCCCCGTGGGCACGGCGGGACGGAGCGCCCCGGGCACGGGTGGGCACGCACCGAGCGGAGCCTCCGCCGGGAACGGCGAGAAAAGCGACGAAACGATTGAATCCTTCACTTAATTCCGCCTTTTCCCGAATTCGATCGGTTTAACGCGAGCTCCCGAGCAAGGGATCCATGCCACGGGAATGGCGGAATGCTGCGTGGGATCAACGAAAGCTCCGGCCAGAGGGGCCGGGCAGGGTCACACACCCGGGCCTCCGCTGCCCGATGCCCCCGGGACCGACAATGCCACGTGGGAGCGGGTTTTGGAAACCGGGAGCGCGGTGACCGGGAATCGCTGCGTGTCGTGTGTAACAGGGGCTGGACGCACTCTAATTCCACCCCCGGTGCCCAACCTGCCCCCGTAAATAAACGCCCCGTTCTGTGAAGTCATCGCCCCAAAGGTCAATAAAAAATCGATACCCAGGCAAGAGTTAAACAATTCTGAATAATTTATTAGAATTTAGCGGAGGTGCAAGAGTGGTGAGTTCCGTCAACAGAAGTGCTCCGTGACGGGGTTCGAAAAACAAAGGGAAACAACATTAGCGATAAATAGCGGAATTGGCCCGAATCCGATGCCTCGGTGCGCGCCCGCTTCTGGCCCGGCCGCGTTTGTCACCGCCAATTATCCACGCGTTAATTCGGGGGGGTTTGGGCGCCCACGAACGAACTTTCGCGGCTCCCGCGGGGCCGGTCGCAGGGAAGCTCCCGTTGGCTGTGCCCGCGGGGCGGTGCGGGATGCGGGATGCGGGGCTGACCCGACCCCGCGGGGCGGTGCGCGGAGCCTGCGCGGCCCCCGCCGCCCCCCCGCCGTCCCGGTGGCCACTCCCCCGCCGCCCCGGCCCCGCTCCTCGCCGCGCTCGCCCGGGACCTCGCGCACGGTCCCGCTCCTAATTAAATTAATTAGGGCGCAGCGCGCGACGGGCGGGCGGTGCCGTGGCCGCGGTGCCCCGCGGCGGGCGGGCGGCCGGCAAGGACGGGGAGGAAGGAAGGGAGGAAGGAAGGGGTCCATTCAGAGCTCCGAGGGGAGGTAATTCGCCGGGAACAAGGGGCCGGCTTTGCAAAGTATAAATAGTGCCACTTCAATCGCGGCGTCGCTATCAGACCCCGGGAGCCCTGCACGTCGGGCGGCACGGCCCGGCCCGGCTCGGCACGGCCCGGGGCGCCGCCGCCTCCCCCCCGCGCCGTGGATGCCCGCCCGGGGAGCCGGGGCAACGCGCCCCTGAGCCATGGAGGAGCTCACGGCGTTCGTCTCCAAGTCGTTTGATCCCAAAGCCAAGGAGAAGAAGGAGCTCATCACCTACCGCGAGGTGCTGGAGAGCGGGCCCCTGCGCGGCCCGCGGGAGCCCGGCGGGGCGGCGGCGGAGCCGGGCCGGGAGGACACGGGCAGCCCCGCGGCGCGGCCGGGCGGGCGGACCCCGCCGAGGGAGCCCGACGCCGCCGCCGAGAGAGCGGCCGAGGCGGCCACCCCCAAGCTCAGCGACGGTAACGGCGGCACCGCGGGACCCCCCTGCGCCCCTTCCCCTCGCCCTTGCCCTGCTTCCCCCGGCGGGGTCGGTACGCGCGGGGCCGGCGGGGAGGCTGCGCCCGGCGGGGATGGGCGGCTTCCCGGGCTTCGCCGGCCGCGGGGGATCCTTGGCCAGCCTCGAAGTTTTTAGATTAAAATACTGCAACACGGATTTAACTTGCTCGGAACGCGATCTTGTTCCCGCTCGGCATCCCACGGGAAGCCAACGAAATCCCGGCCCCGCGGGCCGGGGCCGCGCGGACACGCGTGGGGCCGGGCCGCGCTGCCCGCGCTCAGCCCCGCTCCGCGCCCCGCGGCTCCCCCCGGAACGGCGGCTGTACGGCGGGGCCGGTCCCGGGGCGATGCTCGGGGCCGGTCCCGGGGCCGCCCCGATTTATTAATGAGCTCTCGGGCGCTGCGGGGAAGCGGCCGGGCCCGTCCCAGGGGCCGCGGGGACCCGCGGGTCGCTGCCGCCCTTTTGTTCGGACCGGCGGAGCGCCCGGAGCATCCCCGGAGCGGGTGCCTGGAATAAGGGAACCGGTGCCGCGGGGCCGGGGGAGCGCGGCGGGCTCAGGGCCGGGCCGGGCGGCCCCCGGGGGGCGGTGCGGGGGTCGCCGCGGGGGCTCCGCGCTCCGGCCCGGGGCGCGTCTCCGGCAGAAAAAGACCCAAGGAAAAGCGGCTCTCGGGGGGGGGCGCGGAGCGGCCTCGGCTCCGGGGACCTGTTGCAGCGCATCCCCCGGGGGTCGGCGGGGAGGGCTCGGTGCGGACCCCGCTCCTCCCCGCCCGCGTTCCCGCAGCCGGCGGCGGGGCCCGCAACGGCGGCGGCGGAGGCGGCCTAGCGCGGCCCGGGCGGGCAGGCCCCGCTCCGGCTGTCCCGGCCCCGGGGGGCTCCCGCCGCATCCCCCCGGGCAGCGGCGGGTGCGGGATGAGCCCCCGGACCGCGCGGTGCCCGTCCCGCAGCCCCGCCGGTCTGACCGCTGTGTCGTGCCCAGTGTCCCCAGAGCTGAAGGAGCGCAAGGAGGATGCGAAAGCGATGGAAGACGAAGGGCAGACGAAAATCAAGCAGAGGAGGAGCCGGACGAATTTCACCCTGGAGCAGCTGAACGAGCTGGAAAGGCTTTTCGACGAGACCCACTACCCGGACGCGTTCATGCGGGAGGAGCTGAGCCAGCGGCTGGGGCTCTCCGAGGCCAGGGTGCAGGTAGCGGGGCTGCGGGGGTCCCTCCCGCGTGGGTGCGTGTGCTCGGGAGAAAGGGCCAGCTGGGGAAGAGCCGGGGACATTATGGGGAAGAGCCTCATCCTTCTGCCGGGGAGAGGAGACAGCTCCCGGCCCCAGCTTCACCCAGCAAATCTGGAAACCGCCTCCCAGGGTTTTGCCTCCTCAGGATTTGTCTCCTGGCGTGTCCCCATCCCTTCGTTCCGCCGCGGTTTTTCCCAGCTCCGCGTTTCTTCCATCCCTGCCTCGGCAGCAGCTCGGTGGCTCTGTGATGGTGTGGGTTGTGGTCCCTCTCCTTCCCTGCTCACGACTCATCCGCGGACACACAGATTCACTTCAGGGATGTTTCTAATTCATAAACTGAATTAGAAACCCTTAAGTGAAAAAAAATTTTTATATCTATATACGCCGGTTTTCCGTGTAGTTCTTAAATTTTGAGGGAAGCGGCACAAAAATTGAGCGAGGTGCTTTGTTCGGGCTTATGAAATACAAAAAGTCTGGGATAAACAGGGGTTATTTTAAGATTTCTCCCTCCCCGAGAAGCCGCGGCTTCCTTGGATTTAACCTGCTCTTTTCACCCTCCCAAAGTTTTTCAAAATGGGTTCCCGGGCTGGTTTCTGCGAGTTTTGTCGGGATGAGCTGAAGAGTGGGGAAGAAGGTGATTCCTCAAATGAGAACAAATGTAGCTGCTCCGGTGTATTTCCGTTCTGATAATAAAAGAAGAGAAAATGATGGTCATTATGTGTATGAACACATGGAGCAGTTTTAGGCCCCGAACATCTGCAGCTGGTAGAAAGTATCTCTGTAACAGATACTCCCCCTCAATCTTTGTGCTCGCAGGCACCATCTGCACCCAACTATGCGCTCAATCCTTGGGGGGTTTCCCTGCATCGTGTAAGATTGTAAGGACAGAGGCAGAGCCGCACGGGGAACAGAAAAACTCCAAATGAGCAGCTTTTGTCAGAGCCGGAACCACAAAAAAATAAAAATAAAAAATAAAAGCATCATTTCCCCTCTCCTCTCCCCCTGCCCCCCCCACCTTTTTCTTTTTTTTTAAATTTGGTTAATGTTTTTTGTTTGGGTTTGTTTGTTTGTGGTTTTTAAATTTATTTTTCATTTCCGTCCACGAAATCTTAACAAAACCGAAGCAAAAAGTTGTTGGCTGTGGAAAATGGAGCAGGGAGGTGCTCGACAAAGGAGGCGGCGGCGGCGCATAATCCGCGCTTCCATGATGCCAAATCGCAGGGTGCATAATAACTTTTGGAGATTTACATAGATTAAACCCATTCCCTAGAAATCCCGCCGGAAAAAAAGCGCTTTGCAATAATATTTTGCCTCGTATCTGCGCTGATTTGTAAATTAGGGAATGTGCGTTTCCGCGGGAGGCTGAGGGCGAACGTGGCTGTTGGGCAGGTTTTCCGTGGCTGAAGTAAATGACAGGGAGGGGGAAAATCCCGTTTATATTCCTCTCTTCGAGTAAGACTTCAAAAATTGCAAT